TGTTAACAGACTTTTATTTTCACACCCAGACACGAAATTCTAACCATTTCTCACTTTTTTTTTCTTTCAAAGTGTTTATTGTACATTTTTTCAGACAATTAAAATGGCTCATTTTTTGGTTTCTCAAAAATTGTGTTTTTTTGTACATTTTTTTAAACAATTAAAATCAATCTCAAATATGCTACTTTTTATTTTGTAAATGAAGCCTTCAGTAAAAAAATGGCTTTTGTAAGTTCTGATTTTCAGTTTTTGAATTTACACATTTACACTCATTTTCAGTTTTCCAAAAATTGTCTCTTTCAGAAGTTTTTTCTGKACAATTTTTTTAAAGTCAAACGTTATTTATACAGTGAGCGTCAAAATTATTGAATAATCTTTTTATAACTGAAAATATTTTGTTTTGACGAAAATGCTCAAACAGGTCTTTTTTTAAATACAGAATTTTCAGCTTGACTTGAGTAATGATGTCGACATTTTTTTAATGAAAATCTCTAATTTCTATAATCAATTTGATACATCTTTTGACAACACTCAAAATATTAAATATTACGTAAAATTTTCGAAAAAAAAAAAACAAAGAGAAATAATTTAAAAAAACACAATTTTAAATAAATCAAGTTACGAATTTTATATTTTATTAAAATAAAATTGACTTCGAGCATTTTTGTCAAACAAAATATTTTCCAGTTTTTTAAGTTCAGTTTTTTAATTTTAATCAATAGTAACAGTCATCTAATTGTTTTTGGTTTTCAGTTTCCCTAAAATTGCCTCTTTTAGAAACGTTTTTTAAATTTTTCTAAACGATTAAAGTGTACAATTTCCTCAAATTCAGAATATGCTACACAAAATGGTTTTTGTAAAATTTGATTCTCAGTTTTTGTATTTCAAATTTTTAATCAATAGTAACAGTCATCTCATGTTTTCTCATTTGTAATTTCACAAAAATTGTCTCTTTCCGAAAAGTATTTTGTACATTTTTTTAAACGATTAAAATCAATCTCAAATTTGCTACTTTTTATTTTGTAAATTAAGACTTTTACCCAAAAAAATGTTTTTTGTAAAATCCGATTCTTAGTTTTTGAATTTCAAATTTTAAATCAATAGTAAACAGCCCTTTTATTATCTTCATTTTTAGTTTTCCAAAAATTTATCTCTTTCAGAAGTGTTTTAATCAATCTTAAATATGCTTTTTATTTTGTAAATTAAAGTCAAAGAATTAGTCAAAGAATGGCTTTGGTAAAATCCGATTCTCAGTTTTTGAATTTAAAATTTTTATTCAATAGTAACAGTCATCTCATGTTTTCTTATTTTTAATTTCACAAAAATTGTCTCTTTCCGAAAAGTTTTTTTTGTTCATGTTTTTCAACGATTAAAATCAATCTCAAATATGCTATTTTTTATTTTGTAAATTAAGCCTTTTACTCAAAAAAATGTTTTTTGTAAAATCTGAATAGTTTTTGAATTTCAAATTTTTAAATCAATAGTAAAGTTAGTTATGTGTTAGGTATAGGATGAAGACAAACAAATTGTACATAGAGCTACACTTTCACGCTTTTTTGACTCATCCTGTATCGGGTTTTGAATGTATGGAAAATAGAAATAAATGAAATTCAACATCTTGTTAACCGACTTTTATTTTCACACCCACACATTTTTTTTTCTTTCAAAGTGTTTATTGGACATTTTTCTAGACAATTAAAATGTGTGCATCTCGCTCAATTTCAAATATGGGAGTATTTATCTCGTAAATTAAGCCTCCAATAAAAAATAGCTCATGTAAAATCTGATTCTCATAGTAACAGTCATCTCAAAAAGTTAAAAATTCTGTTTTTTGTACATTTTTTAAATCGATTATAATTAATCTCAAATATGCTACTTTTTATTTTGTAAATTAGGCCTTCAGTGAAAAAGCGGCTTTTGTAAGTTCTGATTTTTAGTTTTTGAATTTAAATCAATTAAAATAATTGTTATTTCATTTGATTCATTTTCAATTTTTTAAAAATTGTCTTTTTCAGAAGTTTCTTTTA